CTGCTAATTGCTAGTCTTGTTTGAATTTGTTCCTTCACTTTTGCTTTTGAGATGTCGCTGGTTCCCTAGACCTATCTGAGAATCGGACCGGACTGGACCGATCGGTCCGGTTTCAAGATCAAGTGGGCCTGTTACCGATATCACAAAACCGGGAACCGACCGACCCAGTCCTAGTCCCGATTCCAAGATAGGAACCGGGCCACCTTGGAATCGATCACCCTTACCACGTATACCAATTTGCTTTTGCCATGTGTTTGACGACAATTTCCATCGCTTCAATATTTCAGGGATAACATTTGACAAGAAAAAAACCATTCTCACACTTTTCTTAGAGTTTTAACCAGATTTGACGTCATACTAGTTGCTTCTGCCATGCGTATGCCAATTGTTTCTGTCATGTGTCTGCCAACCACTTATACTACATGTATGCCAACTGCTCGTGCCACGTGTATGTCAACTGCTTTCAATGCTTCAATCTTCGTTCTCCTGTTCAGTACTGGTCGTCCTTGCCAAACATGTCAAATTTTGGTGCCAATAGTGGCCAATGCCTATCTCGCACACGTCAAACCTCCTGTTGGCCAAACCTCTGGCAATCATGACTTTTTATAATTATAAAATCGATATCTTGCTTAACGAGGTTGGTGCCTCACAAAGCTAATGTCTCTCTCAAAATGGCCAATACCTATTTTGGTTGTTTTTAGGTGCGAACAGATATGTAAAGTAAATTAGCAAATCTAAAGATAAGTGTGAGAGAGGATATGGATAATAGGAAGATGGACACGCCATCTTCAAAAGGATTAGTTGATCCTATTGATAGTGGAGTCAACTCGATTTCTTTTGCTGAAAGTGTGGATGTAGTCAGGCAATTTCAATGTCATTTCCGTGCTCAGCTTTCGCCACCAACTGAGCCCTCTTGCTCATGTCAAGCTCATGATGTCATCTTTCTAAGGGTAGAATCACTAACTACTGTATATCACTTACATAAAAGGCTTATAATCACGAAAAATCTTAAACTACTACATATGTAATAAATTTATCTCAAACTAATTTTTTGATCACCAAAAATCTCAAACTGGTACACCTGTGACAAATTTGCTCTACGTTAATTTCCGTTAAATTTTACTTCAAATTGTTTTGTTAAATGACACATGACAGTTGACGAATATATCAGTTTGGGGTTTTATCCTTTGTTTGTCTCAGGTATACTAGTTTGTGATTTTTTTGTATTAATTCAATTTAATGGAGGGTAAATTTGTCACAAATGTACAAGTTTGAGGTTTTTTGTGATTAAAAAATTAGTTTATGGTTAAATTTGTCATAGGTGTACTAGTTTGGGATATTTTATGGTCAAAAAAATAGTTTGGGGTAAATTTATCATAGGTGTACCAGTTTGAGATTTTTCGTGGTATTAACCATACAGTAATCTGCTAGATAAATGTAAAGCTTTTCCCTTTTGGAAAAGAAGAGGGTGAAAACTAAACAAGAAAAAAAGGGGGAAATGATGTGTCTGACTTTACAAACCAGAGGAAATTACATTGATATATACAAAGGAAAGTAGTTTATGTACATGTTATATGAATGATGTGATTTAAGTGTTACTGAACAATCACATTACCATCATGATATACATCTTCTCTTCATTTGATTTTTGACATGCCTCTAGTGCGCGGAATACCTTCTCGCAAGACAGCTTAAAAGGCTTTTAGAAGGAATACGGGCTAAGGAAAGAAGTCGATATATCTATACTAATTATTAAGAGAGAGATTCTAGGGATGGTCTCTCACAAAATTGACCATTTTATACTTCACTATGAATTTTGTAAGTTTCACTTCCTTCTTTAACTTCCACATTTTATTTTGTTGCATATACTTTTACATTTTTTATAAACATTTCTTCTACTAATAAAATTTTTGTCAGAGCCATCAAACATGCACGCATTGAAGTCTTGCAGTTGATGAGAGTAACTATAAATAAAACATGAAGGGAATGTTGTTCACGATATTATCTCATTATCTTAGACATCAATTGATGTAACTTCTCCTTTTGGGAAAAAAAACATAGATGGTTACCATGTACCTTGGATAATGGTCTAGCAACAAAACCCTCACGATCCATTGCTATCGATTTACTAACTATAGTATCCTAACGAATATCAGTTGATCTTAAAATTCTCGAGATGAAAAATCTTAATTACTGATTTAGCCAACCTGAAGTCTATATTCAAGTTAATCTTATCGATTGGAAGTTAATTATATATGCCAAATTCGATTGATGTATGAAATTTATCACTTTGATGTAATATCGTATTTGCAATGGACTATATTTTCCTCTATTCTTGATTGGAGGAAACTTCCTACAGCCTGCATCTGATTAGTGGGTCACATGTTAATCTTATAGATTGGAAGTTAATTATGTATGCCAAATTCAATTGATTTATGAAATTTAGCACTTTGATGTAATATCATATTCGCTATAAGCTATATTTTCTTTTATTCTTGATTGGAGGAAACTTCCTATGATCTGCATCTGATTAGTGGGTCACATGTTAATCTTATTGATTGAAAGTTAATTATATATGCCAAATTCAATTGATGTATGAAATTTAGCACTTTGATGTAATATCATATAGTTAAGTTTGTATCTATGTAACGTCCACAACATGTGACCCACTAATCAGATGCTGGTCGGAGGAAGTTTCCTCCAATTAACTCTATATATGCATGCGGGTGATATAGTCTCTATAACTCACAGATCATAACACATTGGAGGAAACCAACTAGGGAACCAACTAGGGATAGGGGAAAAACATGTTCTATTTGCAATTTAAATGATCTTGCTTTGAGTCGTTACTTTTGTTGTTGGATGATTTATCCATCCTTTACACCTTTGATTTATCAAAACATAGCCACATAATTGCATCAGTGATTTAGAACCACTACAACAACGTGAGGACATTTCAAATTCTCTCTCTCCATATATTAAGATTCTATTTATTTTTTGAAAAATGAATGATTTGAAAATATTTTTCTAAAAATAATCGTTTATCATTTGCAAAAACGAATGAAAGAAAAATATTTTTATCGTCCAAGAAAATTTTTAGACAAAAATTGTTATCGATAATGAAAATATTTTTTATTGGCTAATTATTTCAAATGATACAAATTTAGCAAAACACTTTTCAAATTATTTACTTTTCGCAAAAAAACGGAATCTTAGTCAATTCATGTGCTCTTCCTTGGTTGTCATTTCTTTGTTTTACTTATGGTGCGTTTGTTTCTCAAGATTTGAAAAAATATTTTTCTAAAAATAATTACTTGTATCGCTTACAAAAATAAATGATCAAAAAATATATTCATTGTTTACGAAAATGTTTAAACACAAATTATTATCGATAATGAAACATTTTTCATTGACTAAGTATTTCAAACAATACAAATTATTATTTTTAGGAAAATATTTTTCAATTAATTCATTTTTCGCAAAACAAACGAAGTTTTAAAGCGTTGGTTTAAAGCATTGACTTAAAGAATACCTATCATTTATCTTTGTCCTCTCGTTTAGAGTTAACTAATTTTAGACAAATCCTTTTCATTTACTTTTTTATATTTTACAATATTGTTGTCTCAACTACCATGTGAAAATGATGTCTACCTAGACATTAGCTTTTCATGAATCTATTTTTGTGTATTAATAAAATATGTGCACATATATTTATCTTAATGTGTATAATCACAAAGTTGTTTTAAGATGGGAAAAAGGACTAAACAATCCGTGAACTTTGACCCAATGTGTAATATGGTCCGTGAACTTTTAATTTGTTCAATGTGGTCCCTGAACTTTAACTCAATGTGTAATGTGGTTCATGAACTTTTAATCTATTCAATGTCGTCCCAGAACTTTTAGTACGTGTTCAATTTAGTCCATGAACTATATGAAAATGCTCAATATAGTCCATGAACTTGAATTTAGTGGAATGACTACATTAAACATGTACAAAAAGTCCAATGATCACATTGAAACATTAGGCTAAAGTTCAGGGACTATATTGAACAAATTAAAAATTCAGGGATCACATTACACATTGGGTCAAAGTTTAGGGATTATTTGGATCATTATCCCTTTTAAAATCTAGTCCTAGATAAAATTAATGTTAGGGTATTTTTTATTATAAATAATCTACCAAATAGAAACTAGTGGTCAAAACACCCGACGCGAGTAAGGTTAGTAGTGAGGCTAGAGATTGAACGAACGAAAGCGAGTCTTTTTTTGTTTTTTTTGGGTATGAACTAACTTATCCGATTGACACTCTTTTATATTTTATTCTATTTAATAGTGTAAATGCTTGACGTGGAAGATGGAGCCATCAACTGCGCGACATGTGGCACAACGTCGACAGGCTATCCTACTCAGTTATCTAAATTTGATGTGGCAAAACCTAAGAGAGAGGTAAATTTGCTTACGTAGAATTTTCCCAACAGCCTCCAAATTAGCTCGGGGGATCGACAAATGCTTCTACTTTATATAGACATATAAATAGATGGAGGAAGACTACAAGTTACACCACAAGACGTGGTTCTCTTGTTACATTCTTTAGTTGCAAGACCGAGCAAAAGGCAATCCCCATTTTGGATTCACGGATGTTGAACACATCTACATGTATACATACATACATAAATATATATGTATACATATATATTTGCAATTGTGAAATAAGGTCGACAGAAAACTGTTGACCTTACCGAACGCGGGATCTGACGTGAGATCGAACCTTGTATTTTTAACCCTGTTCAGTTTGCCAGGGCGAGTGGTACATCGTCATCATCGCCAATGCTGAAATTAAGAATAAACGAAGGAAGAAACGAGGGACTGATGCAGGTGTTATCAAAATTGATGGCGGTCCCACATCTCCCCACCAAAAATTAAAAAAATAAAATAAAACTCACAAGATTTAAATAAATATCCAACAGCCAATAAGCAATCCATGGCTGCAAAAAAATATCAGCATCAGCATCAGCATCAGTCTAGGCTGAACACCCCGGTCTTCGTCTTCCTCTCTCTCTCTCCGGCGGAGCCGAAGTAACGATACCTTGACACGACCGACCACCACCGGGGGACATGGCGGTGACGGACTTCTTCGCCGGCGAGATCGCGACGGAGCTCCTGAAGCAGCTCCTGCAGATATCCCGCAAGTCCTGCCTCTGCAAGGCCAGCGCGGACGATCTCATCGCCACCATCACGGAGCGCCAGCCCATCATCCGCGAGATCCAGTACTCCGGCGTCGAGCTCCCCGCCCACCGGCAATTCCAGCTCGACCAGTTTGCGAGGACCCTCCAGGACGGCATCGAGCTCTGCAAGAAGGTCCAGGGCTCCAACCGATGGAACGTCTACAGGAACCTCCAGCTGGCTAGGAGGATGGAGAAGATGCACAAGAGGATCAACGCTTTCTTCCAGGGCCCGATGCAGGCCCACACCCTGGCCGACGTGCACCACATGCGGTTCGACACGAAGGAGCAGCTGGATCGGATCGAGGGGTCGACGCGACGGCTGGAGCAGAGCCTGTCGGATATGAGGATCGGCGGCGGCGGGTGGGTGCAGGAGGCGGTGAGGCGGAGGGAGGAGGCCGAGGCGGAGTCCGACGTCTTCGGCGGAGGCTTGCTGAGGCTTGGGCCATCGGTGGAGGTGGGGAGAAGGAAGGTGAGGGAGATGATTGTGAAGAGCGAGGATATGGGGGTGATTGGGATATCTGGGATTGGTGGGTCTGGGAAGACCACTTTGGCTAAGGAAGTTTCTAAGGATGATAAAATCAGAGGTGAGCTCCTTTATCTGCTTTTTATTTTTGTAGTGATTTTTCTTTTGTTTCTCATTTCTTTGGGTTCTGTTTTTGGTTCATGCTCTTTCTGGTTGAATTTGCTCTGATTGCACTACTGCAGTTTCTGACAGGAGGCTTTTGTGAACTTTTATTGCTTTGAGTGCCCTAAATTTAGCATGTTAGCAAGTGGTAGGTAATGATAGCTTGACCTCAGTATCTTTGGATAGCTCTCTGATGTGGCTTTGAAACTGTTGTCTAACAAAATCAGTATTTCGTGTAGACTATATATCCAAATAATTTGTGAGCTCCTTGCTTTTCGGTGTTTAAGGTCGATTTTCACTTGTTTCGGAATGGTAATTTCATCTGTTTAGATTCAAAGCTACCAACTGACCATTTTTATGCTTCTTCCAGATTGTTTCAACAACAGGGTCCTGTTCCTAACAGTATCTCAGTCCCCTAATGTAGATTTATTGAAGGCACAGATTAAGGGATATATAATGGGGAATGAAGGGGTCAGTCCATTCGATCGGGTTCCTCAGTGGAACCTGCAGTATGATTTGGGGGCCCCAGGACGAAGGACCCTGATTGTGCTGGATGATGTGTGGTCGTTCTTGGATCTTGAGCCGTTGGTTGCCATTTCCAGGACACCTGGTTGCAAGACCCTCGTGGTCTCGAGATTCAAATTCCCGGAAGTAATTAAAGATAGTTATGAAGTAGAATTGCTGAGGGAACAAGAAGCCATGACCCTGTTCTGCTACTCGGCTTTTGGTCAAAAGTCCATCCCTCCTGGTGCTGATAAAGATTTGGTCAAGCAGGTAGTTTAGAAAACTCTCTCTCTCTCTCTCTCTCTCTCTCTCGGGAGTACGTTTTTACTCATGTAAACACTAGTAACTTTGTTTGAAGTTTCATTTGAATTTGCTGCCTTAGGCCTTTGATTCTATATGTCATGAAAACGTTGTGGATAGGTTGTCAACGAGTGTAAAGGGCTTCCTTTAGCTCTCAAAGTGATTGGAGCTTCACTGAGGGACCAATTACCGATGTTCTGGAAGAGTGCCAAAAATAGATTGGCAAGAGGAGAGCAGATATGCGACTCTCATGGAAGCAAACTGCTGGATAGAATGGCGATCAGTGTGGAGTACTTGAAGAAAAAGGTCAGGGAATGCTTCTTGGATTTGGGATCGTTCCCAGAGGACACAAAGATTCCTCTGGATGTTCTTATCAAAATGTGGGTCGAAATACACGATATTGATGACGAAGAAGCTTTTGCAATCCTTGTTGAGCTCTCCAACAAAAATCTAATTACTATGGTTAAAGATGACCGGTATGTACATGTTCCGCACGTCTTTTGGTATGGCTCTTAGATTTGGAAGAACTAATCAAACTGAATCCTTCTAACTTAGTGAGATCTGTGGCAGAGCTGGAGAAATATACAGCAGTTATTTCGAGGTGTCGGTGACCCAACATGATGTGCTGAGGGACCTCGCCCTTTATCTCAACAACCAGGAGGAAGTCAACAAGTGCAGGCGACTGCTTATGCCTAGAAGAGAAAATGAGCTTCCTAGAGAGTGGGAGAGGAATTCAGACAGACCGTTTGATGCCCAAATTGTTTCAGTTCACACAGGTACTGACTGAAATTTAGTGAGGCTCGTACACTGAACTCTCTCTTCCAATTTGTTTTCACTAATATCTGTTGTGCAAATCTAGGTGCAATGAATGAAATGGACTGGCCAAGACTGGAATTCCCCAAGGCTGAAGTGCTCATCCTCAACTTCTCCTCTGACAGTTACTTCTTACCCCCTTTTATTGAGTACATGCCGAAGCTCCGTGCTTTGGTTGTCATAAATCACAGCACTTCCAACGCTGTCCTCAGAAACTTTTCGGTTTTCTCTAGTTTGACCAAGTTGCGAAGCCTCTGGCTTGAAAGGGTTTGTGTCCCCCATTTATCTGAAACCACAATACCCCTCAATGAAATGAGCAAGATATCTCTAGTCCTGTGCAAGATCAATGACAGCCTGGATCCATCAACCGTCGATCTCCCCAAGATTTTTCCATGCCTATCGGAGCTCACTATTGACCACTGCGACGACTTATTGGAGCTTCCTTCGAGCATTTGCAGGGCCCGATCCCTCAAGAGCCTGAGCATCACAAACTGCCACAGCCTTCAAAGGCTACCAACTGATTTGCACGAACTGTCGTCTCTAGAGATTTTGAGGATGTATGCTTGCCCGAATCTTAGGATACTTCCTCAGGGAATCTGTCAACTTGGTTGCTTGAAGTATCTTGACATATCTCAATGTGTTAATTTGATGCGCCTTCCTGAAGAAATTGGAAACCTGGGGACACTTGAGAAGATCGATATGAGGGAATGCGCACAGATAAGGCGGGTGCCGATGTCTGCCTCATTGATGAGGGCTCTTAAAACTGTGGTCTGCGATGAGGAGGTGTCTTCGGGGTGGCAAGAGGTGAAGCCTAGGGAGGATGTTCAAGTTCATGTCGTGGACAAGTGCTTCTCTCTGGACTGGCTGGACGATTGACCGTGTTTCTTATGAAAGCTTGCCGCATCACTCACCATTCACCATTAAGCACAAGTTCTAGTCAAGCTGTTCCAGCATCTGTAACATTTGTCTCCTTTGCATGTTAATTTGGTTCCCGGTGTCTGAAAAACTTCAAGAAATCTCGTGTTCTGTTCAATGTTATGTTGCTCTGTATGTTTTGTCTGTTGGACACTGATAAGTTCACTGAAGTCCATCTAGCGTTTTTTCGTTTCTGGCCCCGTTTCCCCATCTGGAGTTTCATTAAACTGACCGGATTATTATGTGAGCAATGCTGCCTGTGTTGAATTTTGTTATCAAATGACTTGATGCTTAGGCAGTACAATATCAATGGCAAATTTCTAAGATTTCAAAGTCCAGTTATTGTTTATCATCTCTTTATGCTGAACACAGAAGTTCTAATCACTTGTGCCGTCAAAATCATGCTTTGGCTTAACCCTCTCTCTCCTCCCAAAAGGTATAACATCAATGTACTTAAAATGCAAAAAAAGGAGTGGAAGTTCTGCTAGCATGGCGGAGGGAAGGGTGGCAATTTGTGTGACCGTGACCTGCTATTGTGCTGCGTGGAATTGATATCATTGTTCAAGTAATTTGAAATTTGGATCGATATCATGAGAAGGTTGATTAAAGTTTGTCAAGCAACATCAAGTTCTGGGTACTCTTCGTTGTATCATTGTCCGATCCGGCCTTCTCAAACTATTCTCGATACTTTGGTTTTTGCTTAATTCGTGATCTCGTGTCGCGTCAAAATTATCAATGGAACGATGCTTTTTTCTTTTCACTTTCTCGTGACGCTCTTTATAGAGTGTTTTTGAAGCTTAGGATCGGACAAAACTTCGTGCCTTGTCAGTGATCTTAGATGGGTCCGAAGAATCCAAAGTCGGCAAGCTTTTTAAGCAATATTGTGAGCATGATGGAAGTATGACTAGGCAAAACTAGGAACCAATCTTCATATATCTCATCAAGAGTTCAAAATTCAGCATTTCGAATTTGGAGTATTAGGTGATTTTTTGGTACCACAGTGTCTTCAATAATGAACTTTGAGGAGGGCCACCACAGATTATTAGTGTTTTTTTCTTTTTTTTCAATGGGGCTTTAGATGGAGACATCGACTGATTATTGGGTTGATTTCTTGGACATTGCTCGGTGCCTTCCTTTGTCACTTTCCTAGGTTGTAATTTAGTGCCCAATCACATTTTTAAAGTCGTCGGGTCATATATGTCTTGGTCTTTTGTTAACACGCTATTCTGTGGGACCTCGATTTTTATCTCCACACACGTGTATCGGTCGGCCTTGGCATATTCCTTTGGGGTGTGAAAGCAAAAGGTATAATGATATAAATAGTTGATGAGTTTTGGCTAAATGTATAATTTGGTTCATAAATTTTTAATTTATTCAATATGGTCCCTAAACTTTAGCCAAATATGTAATGGTATCCTTGAAATTTTAATTTGTTTAATGTGGTCCTTAAACTTTTGGTACATGTTCAAGTTAGTCCCTAATCTATATGAAAATGTTCAACATTGCCCGTCAACTTAAATTAATAGAAGGGTAACATTGAACATTTTTATATAATTTAGGCATTAGATTGAACATGTATATATTAAAAGTTCAGGAACTACATTGTCTAAATTGAAAAATAAGGGACGACTTTGCACATTGGGCAAAGTTCAAGGACCACATAGAACAAATTAAAAGTTTATGGACCACATTACACATTGGACCTAAGTTGAGGAACCATTTGTGTCATTTTCCCAATGCAAAATTATTCATACGAGGAAGAATTTTTAATTTGATCCCTAGATTTTCGAAGTTTCACATAATTAGTCTCGAATTTTTGTTATCATAACTCAACTTCTCATTCACCATGTCGGCCAGATATTATCCGTTTTGGTAGCGGCTCACTCGATGCCTACATGGCTTTAAAGTGCATCGTTCTAGTTTAAGATTGCACGACACTTATCTACTAGAGCAATAGCTCAGGTCCAGGAGATGTAGAATTAAAAAACATATCTGAAACCCAAAATCCCCACCCTAGCTCTTATACCATGTAAGCTGGCCCCACTTGTGCCTCTGCCTGCATGATATTATTTGCAGGAAAATTGTCCAAAAAGTCTAAAACCTTTCAATTTTGTCAATTGAGTCAATCTGGACAATTTTGGCTGGAATTCGTTGACGTGGATGCCGGATGTCCTACGAGGCATGGTCAGCGCTGACGTAGATAATATTTTAATATTTTTCCACTTTTTTTTTCTGATTTTTTTTCTTTTTTTCTTTGTCCTTTCTTTTTCCTTTTGCCGATGATCGGCCACTGGCCATGGCCTGGTGGGCCGATTTCGCCTAGGCGAGGGTCGTTGTCGTTTGCCACAAGTGAGGCCCGATCGGGCAAGGGCTCTCCTCACCAGATTTGGCGAGGCTGCGCTGGGCCTCGCTTGTGGCGACGACGGTGACCTTTGCCTAGGCAAGGCTAGCTTGCCTAGCGATGGTTGGTCGCTTGTGGCTGGTGGCCGGTCATCGGCAAAAGTGAGGAAGAAGAAAGAAGAAAAAAAATAGTAAATTGAAAAATTATTAAAATATTTTTAAAAATTGTCAACATCAACGCCAGCAGTGCCACATAGGACAGCCGATGTTTAGTTAGTGAATTCCGACCAAAATTGGCCAGATATACTTTAGGACTGAATTGGCAATAGGTTTAGGACTTTTTGGATAATTTTCCCTATTGTTTGCCCATGTCATGGCTTATTCTCGCTTGGATAGCTTTAAAATGAGTCATGCTAGTTTAAGGTTGCGCATGGCTTATTTCTTAGCGCAAGAATCCATATCTAGGTGATATGCAATTGATGCGTATTTAAAACACAACAATCTATTACAGTAGTTGCTTTTGAAGGAGTGAAGTATGAAAGAAACTTGGGTTCAAAGGGAGGCTTGGGTAGGTTGCTATTGTTGCTATATCATCATTTCCGGACCAGTTGCCTAGGCCGAGTCCCACTCGGCTGAGTGCAACTTATTCACCCTGTTCAGTGTTCACCTTTGGCAGTACTCAGTAGCAGAGTGCTCCATGTTGTGACAAACCTGTTGAGACACGATGTGTACATTGCCTTTGCATCTATGATGCACGTATTAGTAACTTTTGATTATTTTGTCATCCTCAAAATTTCATTCGGAGTTTCTGCAACAAAAATCCAATGCTATGACATCTAATTTTCAACGGAGATCTAAACAAACTGTCAAGGGATAGTTCAATGTTTTTTTTTTTTTGGCAAAACAAGATCATTTCATTTCATCAAAATGAGCTTCAGTACATACAAGGTTCCAAAGGATTGCGGGAGGGTTAAAGACCCAATTATAGGGCAAAGATTTGCACTTTTGAGTCTTAACAATCTAGTCTCCCACATGATTTTCTTCCCTATTACAGTGGGCTAAAAGAACATTAGGTAAATGGGCTAGCAGAAGTTTGCATTCGGTAATAAGTGGAGTGGCTTCCCATGGAGAAAAATCTAAGCCTAAAAGGCAATTAACCAAAATCAAGTTGTCAGATTCTAGTAGGTACCTCATTTTGTCTTCCTTCCTTCATGCATGAAGTAGCTTCAGAGTTTCAAGGCAAGCAAGGATTTCCACATTGATAGCTGAACTTGCCCTCACCATTTTAGCAAATCCATCCACAATTTTCCTCGAGAAGTCATGGCAAATACCAACTATGGATCCTTCCGTTGAACCTGCAGTGTAGAATCCGTCAATATTCCACTTGAGAGTCCCTTTCTCCGGTGGTCGCCACGATTTGGGTGAGTGGCTATCCGTTGAGTTGGTGTTCTTCTCCGATTTAGTCCATCGGCAAATATTTTGGTGCATGGCCATTGTAGAGCTCACCAGGTGTTGCGGATTTGGAGATTGACTTCGAAAAATGAAGTTGCTCCTCCATTTCCATATATACCAGAGAACTACCACTAGCAAATCAAAGGAGATTGAGGTACTTTTGAAATTTAGTAGCCACTCTTCAATTCTCGTAAGTCCTTGACTAGAGATTTGAATATGCAGGGCCAGGTTCGACCATACCTGATTTGTCCATGGGCAGAGTAGGAATAAGTGCTTGGTTGTCTCAACCTGTTGGTTATACAGACTGCGGGTAGGTTCTTGAACAATACTCCTTTTAAATAAATTTTCCTTGGTAGGCAAAGCATTTTGGCACATTCCCCACAAGAAAAATCTGATTTTTGGAATGGTTTTTACCTGCCAAATCCTTGTCCGTAGTTTTCGAGGGGTCTGATACGAGGTGGGTGCTGAAGTTGCGATCTGTTTCTCGGTTTCTCCCCTTAGTTTGTTGTACCCACTCTTAACTGTATAGGACCCCGATCTAGTGTTGTTTCAAACCAACTTATCCTCCGTTAGTTGAGATCGCAGCGGAATTGAGAGGATTTCATTGAAGGTTTGTTCATCAAATAGAGCATGTAGGGTCTGTGTATTCCACATTGAATCTTGCTTTTGTATCATATCAGCTACCTTCTCTGGCTCGCCTCTATTTGGTGGTCCCTCTATAATTCCTCTGGGTGGCCATTTATCCTCTCTAATTCTAATCTTTTCCCTATTTCCAACTGACCACATAATGGAGGAAAGAATAGCATCTCTGCCCATTAGGAGGTTTCGCCACCCCCAAGATGGCCGTGTCTCCTTACCAGCATGTCTAAAATCACAATGAGGGAAGTAGAGTCCTTTAAGTACCCGACTCCACAAAGATGTTGGGTTCTGAGTCAATCTCCAGGCTTGTTTCCTCAACATAGACTTATTAAAAGTGATGAGGTCTCTAAAGCCCAATCCTCCATTATCCTTTCTAAGTTTTAGCACATCCCATTTTCTCCAATGCAATCCTGATTTGCTTGTCCCATTTCTCCACCAAAAAACAGCAATTTTTTGCTCAATAGCATGATAAATGGAGATAGAAACTTTAAAGATGGACATAGCGTACCGTGGGAGAGCTTGAACCACTACTTTAATGAGGATTTCTTTCCCTGCTTTAGATATCAACTTTTCTTTTCAGCCTTCTAGCTTCATATTGACTCTCGCCATAATCCAAGCAAACATTTGCTTCTTTGACTCGCCCCAGTCAGAAGGAATTCCCAAATACTTGTCAGTTTTCTCTATAATCGGCACTTGCATCTCCGCAACCATATTCTGCCTCAATCTCTGTGGGCAATCTTTACTAGCAAACAATCCAGATTTATTCAAATTAATAGCTTGACCCGAGGCATAGCAATATTGATTCAAGATTACAACTACA